TCTTTCTGGGGTTTTTAATGGCTATATGCATCACCAGGTAGGCACTGTGTAAGAACTGTGGTTTACCTGATAGGGCTTCAAAATAAAAGCATTAATAATAGTTTTTAAGAATGTCTGAAGGAACACACAACCTAGAACACGGGAGGAAGCACGTGGCTCATTGTTACCTGATAAAACAAAGGAAAGGCAGGCAGCGTTCTGACCAACTTGCTATATCCAGAGTGTGCAGGTAACCAAGGTGATAACCTATTTTACATGTGTTTAAACAGGTAACATTGAAGCATACAGCTCTCAGTGAGCATGGATTATAACTACAAATTAAGCTAAACTCAGTTTCCTTTTGTGAAGCTACGTTTTCAATTTAAAAGTTTCCTTTGGTCCTTATAAAGTGTTCCTTACCCTCAGGGTAAGTACAGACAGTACATCATATGAATATTCTGCTCCATATCATCTAGGGCTTTATTAGGAAGCCTCTCTAGTTAGCTATACGTCTACAAGTCTTGGCTTGACAAGCTGAGAGAAGTCATCACAGCTCCATGGACTCTTTGCAGTTGCTTTGCTGACTCAAAGGATATGGGAAGCAAGAGTGTGCTTCTTCCTTCTCTCCTTGCTTGTCTTTTCTAAGAATATATTCATATATGAACTATATACAAACCTGCGGATCCTGGATTTACTAAAGGGTGGGGGGCATGCTTCAGACCATGAGGGATTAGGGTGAGATGTAGCTTGAACCCTAGGTGGCAGAGGACAGTGGGGAGCCAGGCAAGAGGACCCCCACATCCACCCTCCAGTGATATAGCTGCTGCTGTTCCTATCTGACCTGGAGACATGGTGGGCCTACAGCCACTCCTGCCCTACTCCAGCCAGCAGCTGTGGAAATAGCTGCATGAGGAGCCAGATTTGGCCAGGAGCATTGGTAGTAGCATTGCACAGTTTCCTCCTTCCAGCCCCTGCTCCCTGACCACCCCTGCACTGGTGCCTTCCACTGGTTGGGAGTAGATGGACCCTGTGTGCTGCCACTCTTGTCCATAACTGAGCCTGGCTCCCCTCACAGCTGCTTCATGCAGTGCATAGTAAAATCAGGGCAGGAGTAGCCCTGGGGCTTCACCCATGCCTGCATCAGTGGTGGTGGTGCACAGGTTCCTCCTCCCAGTGCCTGCTCCCAGCCAGCGGGGAACACCTGTGGGGGAGAAGTAGGCCTGGGAGCAGGTGCTAGAAGGAAGAACCTGCAGTCTGCTGCTGCTGCTGTCCCATGCTGAGCCTAGCACTCTGCACAACCTCAGCCCATGGCTGGAGCAGGGCAGGAGCATTTCTAGGTCTCCTCCTGCATGCAGATCAGCTAGGAAGGGGGGCAAAAGCAGGATGCGACTGCACCATCTCACTCCCCTGGATCCACGCCTGTATACGTATATTCTCAATGTTGGATATCCCTGGAAGGTACAAAGCTGCTTTTGAAAAACCTTTCTCCTTTATCAATCAGAGGTGGAATTAAGAGGCTCTTCTTTCTAGTATTTTGAGGTCAGGGACAAGTTGAAGCTTTGCTACTAAAATAAACATTTTCCTTTGAAATCTTAGGCTAGCAGCATTAATATACAAGGGATCCTATAAACCTTACGTATAAAAGAAAAAAAGTGTGAGCCCTTACCCCTTATGTACACATCAGGAAATATAATAAACCTCCAAAACTATGTAATCAGTTGTCAACTAAAATACTTTGGTTTTTTAAAGGAGTTAATAACAGCGGTTGATCCTATTAATACAGGTTATTTGATTATAATATTTTAGCTTATTTAATTATAACATTTCAATTAAGAGGGTTGAATCAAGTTGCCAAAAGAGAACAGTTGTCCCTCCTTCAATTTACCCTGTTGACTGAAAATGAAATACAAATAAACACTAACTTCTCTAAGTGGTCCAGTATAATTCCCTCCCAAACCCCAACCAGTTCCTGTTTCAGTACCCAATGCCAAAAACTCTTGAGTAGTTTTTAACAGAATTTTTTGCAACTTTTAACTGTTGTTGCAGACCAGTTTCCAGGAAGAGTAAATGTTTCGTTTCAAGACAACTTGCATTCTGCACATAGGTACTCCGTTCATCTCACAAACAATCTGGTGTGTGGCAACTGCAGTCAAACTTAGTATTAAGCTTTCAAGGAAACAGAATGCACTTGTAAATGTGCAGGGTTAGTAAGAACTATAAATGCGTACCTAGAGTTGTGTTTTCATTTAGAACAAGCTGAGATCTGTTGGGCTCTGTAGGGCCTGCTTTAAACATAGTTTCATAGTTTCTAGGGTCGGAAGGGACCTGAGTAGATCATCTAGTCCAACCTCCTGCCATGGCAGGGAATAGTACTGGGGTCAAATGACCCCGGCAAGGTGTTCATCTAACCTCCTCTTAAA